AAAAACAAAAAAATCAGCTGAGCCTAGGCTAGAAAACCACAAATCATGTTCAAAATAGGATCATTCTGTTACAAGGTAACAACACGTACCAAAGTAGGCCCCCACCAGAGTTAAAAAGAAGAGTCCTCTGTTGTCAAAGCACAATGGAGTTTGAAAGGAAATGACATCTCTTTGTTAAGACACAGAAAAAGCATCAAGACTCCTTCAAGGGAGAAAGCTAGTGCCAGTTATAGCTAGTGGACACTGGGAGCTCCATCCAGGCTTCTATGTTCCCCATAATCCATAATAGACATCCTTTGCTCTGCCTACAAATAGCAGATAGTCATACAACACCATAAAAGCTTTCAGAGGGTGACCATAAAGAAAATGGAAGTTTGTTCTAGCACTAAAGTTTATGGCAATATTCCCACTGACTTCATTAAGAGCAGGACAAGTCTTCAAAGTCAATTTTCTTTTTACCCCTTAGAGGCTTTTCCTAATGTTTATTTAAAGAGAGAAGAATCTGCCTTGAAGCAGCACTCTAGGGACACATAAAAAGTTGCTCAGCAGAGATAGCCCTAATAAGAATTAGCCAGAACTCTGTACTAAGTATAACTGGGGTTGCTATTAGAGGTATTCTCCTTAGGTCGGAAGATACCTAAAATGAGTGAGCTCTTTTATGTAGTCACTGTCTTAATTTTTATCTTTACAAGTGCTACACATACAGGATTTAATTTTTAAAACATTGTTCTGAAATGTTTAATTCTTTCTTTAATTTACAGGAATCAGACTGTCTCTTACAGCCTTGTAAGCAACTTATGTCACTTGAAAGGCAAATTTCTCATAGAAGCTAAAAAACAAACAAACACACCCACCCCCAACCCTACCTCAATAAAACAAACAAAACACAGCATTTTCTTTATGCTGCTGTGGCATCTGTGTGTGGTAATTGTCAAATTAGCCACATCAAGTTCTCTGCAGCCAGTTTTGATATTTAAGGTCACAAGTGAGTTTGGATTTGAAGAGGTTAAACATTAATACTGTCCTGGTGACACCTGAAAAAACACCAGCCTGGAAACTTCAGAGATCGAGCTCTAAAATGTATCACATTAATGGGCAACTCATTCAAAGCACCTTTGGGCTGCAAAAACAAGCGACAAAAGGGAGAAATGAAAAGCAACTTAGCCAGCCAAAGGCTAAGGTAGCAAAGATGTTGCTTATTTTGTATAGTGACACTAGAATTTTTACCGTAAAATTTGTCTTTCAAAAATACCATGAACTTACAGAAAAAAGCCGCTATGATCTAGTCACAATTTGTCTGCAACATCTTTCTGAAGCAAGCAATATTAATCTGATTTTTTTTCCTTTAAATTGCAGCATATCAAGCACCGTCTTCAAAGGTTACGGGCCGGCTGGGAAATTGCAGAAGACACGTTTCAGAGGTACACACCATATGGATACCAAACATTTTCAAATATCATCAGCACTCTCGACCCCTCTGCAAAACGCCACCTGGTTCTAGCTTGCCACTACGACTCAAAGTTCTTTGGACAACAATGGCAGGAGAGAGCGTTTGTAGGAGCAACTGATTCAGCCGTGCCTTGTGCTATGATTTTGGAGCTGGCACGTGCCCTGGATAACCAGCTTCAGCTAATCAAGGTAGTTGCTTGTTTCAGTTTCATTTGGTTTTGTAACAGCAATAGGCCTTGGGGCACTTCCATGTTCTCTCCCATAGCCTGCGTGCCCAGTTCTTAGATTGCTTTGCTGCAGGAAAACTGCCATTGACTTCAAGAAGAACAGAAGAGAGATCTGTATCTACTGCTTTAGAGTACATTATCACATTAGAACTTCTTATGCAAAGGGTGGCTATCTAAAAATTACCTAATAAATACTATATAAAAATAACAATTTGTACATGAATAATACATGTTTCATAGACTTGGCAAGATATACTACTACTTTCTATCTAAAGAGTACAGAACCCTGCTCAGAATCTCCTGTCATACCGAGTAACATCTAGGGTCACTGACAAGTATTTTTGCTTTCTTAATCTTGCATTTTTGAAGTCTTCCAGTTGTATTCTGTCTTGGGAGATGGATGAACAGGAGTTAGACTCGCATCCCTCCATCCCATAATGATTTCAAGATTTTCTTCTTTTCCTTTATCGATTTGAATAGTTTATTTATGAAACAAGTGATGGCTGAGTACCGGAAAATAGCCAAGTAATAATATAATATTATCAGCCTGTGTTACCTTTGCTATGAAAATCTGCTTCAAAGTGCTGCCATCGGCAGGTTGATCCGCCCCGCTCGAAAAGCTGGGATGCTTACAGGCTCATGAGTGCCATCTAGTGGTTCAGGATTTGCTGTTTACAGAAGAATACTCGTACACCAGCGAAGCTTTCACAGGGAAAGGTCTCTCAAATGCTTTACGAAGTGTCAGGAATACACTCGGCTCAGGTATTAAGATTACTTGTCGGAAGTGTTTCCAGAAACTGATTTGGTGCCTTCTGACTTTAGAATATTTAAGAATTGGAAGATTAAGAATATGCCAATGTTTATAATCACAAACCAAAGCACTCCTGTAATACAGATGCTTTCATTTAGAAGCTTCACATAGAATAAAATTGCCTGATGGTTATTTATGTCAACCTGGACACTGACTTAAAGAGTGGAATTTTTTTCAAGTTATATCACTTTTGATTAAGCTGTTTTATCATATGAAAGCATTTGACAAAAAGGCAATCTAATTACTTTGTACAGGATCCCATTTGCACAGTCTGTTAACAAAATATACTTTGGGATCCATGTGCTTAATACATTAGCTATGACCTTTTTGCTCTGCCCATAGTAGCGTAACAGATTTTGTTGTGTTTTCAGCCAAATCTATTTATACTTTGACTTGAAGCTGTGATTTTTATCTTGATGTTTCTCCAGTTATATAGAGTAAGTTTAAAAATAAAGAGCAAAGACAGCTGTTATTCAGACCCGGGAATGTGGTAAACAGTAATAATAATAATACAAACACTACTTTACAAAATTCAAATGGCATTAATACAGTTTCCTCCAGAATGCAAAACAACTGCTATCAAAAGACCTCTGTCTTGTGCAAAGGGCAGCAAAGCATTGCCATTAGAGAAATCCATATATCACTGTGAGCACAATCAATACCATCTTGCCTGTGTGAGCGACATTTTATAGAAGTTTTCCACTACTGTTTATATTGGATCTGCTCCAGCTAGCTGGGAGTTGTAGCCCATACAGGACATGACTGTTGCCAGTGGCCCCACCTTATTAACCACATCATGCAATTTCACTTGAAATAGCATTAATTTGTAGACAGTTAAAATATTTATAGCAACTGCCAAGACCACAGTTTCCCAACCTGTTCATACAGTGGAACCAATCTGGGGTTAGCCATGTTGCAGATTATTAGGGAATGCTGCCAGTGCAAACAAAGATTCAGTTAGTAAACAGAGGGAGAAAAAGGGCTCCTTCTACATGGAGAAGAAATTTCACACAGATGTCTCCTCTGTGAACTTAAATACATAAATCATATATTCTTGGTTTTTACTGTTGTGATATTTTTGGTTGTTGAAAGTGAAAGGTTTATGTACTCCACTCTCACTGCTTTGGTTTTAGGGTAGAGTTGCCTCTGTGGTTGCGAGTCCCCCTGAAGGAAAAGAAATGGTCATTCTTCTCATGACTGACTGCTCTTTGTCCCTCAAAAGAACACCAGCTCTACAAATCCATAATTTACCTCTACTGATGCACAGCCATAGCAGAGATACTACTCCTTTGTGGCACTAGCAAGGAATCACGTCTCCTCACTATTTGAGGTGATGTTTCTGGTACCTGGTGTTGCAGACGTTTCTCAATATACTCAGCTCATGTCTGCTAAAGTCAGAAATGAAACTTTTAACCAGAACCCAAACGATACCAGGCTGGAGAACGTGGCACTGCACTAGATAAATAATAGTGATTGCTACCACTATTATACAGCCATAAGAGGGTTTGAGTAGGGTACCTTGAAAATAAACCCGTACTGATGCTGCTTATATGACTACAGTATTTGTCCTTTATTTAATCTTCTGGCCAGAGTCAGTTATGCTACTTTTGCTTTCTTCCAACAGACCAGCTCAGCATCAAGACCAGACCTTTCACTTCAGCTCATTTTTTTTGATGGTGAAGAAGCCTTTGTCCAGTGGTCCCCTTCTGATTCCCTCTATGGATCTCAACACTTAGCTCAGAAAATGGTATCTACTCCTCATCCACCTGGTTCAACAACCACAAATCAGCTGCAGGGCATAGTAAGTGGCTTTTCCCTCCCTAATGAGCAGTAGTAAATTGCATTTTTTTTTAATACTCAGCTAGTAAATGCCCAAATTACCATGAAACCATGAATCTCACCAAAGTTAAAGGAAGAAGTAAGGTTGGGGCAATTTCATGAGATGTGATAAAACAGAGAGTTGGCAAGAGCTTTTCAGGTGACTTTGCTTAGACCTTTTCCATGCAAGTATGGAGGAGAAGTCATAGAAAAAGCAAAATCCACAAATTTATTAGAATATAAACTAGGATACCCACCCACTTTAAGAGAGATAATTCAAAGTGATTAGGAGCACAGACATAGTATCCATCTGTGAACAAATCTCCCCTAAATCAGCGCTAAGCTACAGCAAGCTGTTTCCCTTTCATTCCTACTAAAATTCTGGTTGTCTGCTCCCTTCGTTTCCCTACCCACTGCTGAGACACATTTTTTCTGTCACTGTGTCTTATGACTCATGTCTTTCCCTCGACAGACTTTGTTGTTCTCCAGGGAAGAAGCAATTTCCTCTTCTTTCTCCCCACCTACCGTAATTTTACTTTTAAAGGGATATAACACACAAACTGCAACCAAAGCAATGCAGTCTGCTTCAGCTTGAAGAACAGAGAAACAGCCAACCTTTTCCTCCTCAGAAAGACAACAAAATGCATTGGATTGGAATCAGGTTCTGCTGATGAGTTCTTCTCAGGCATTACGATAGAAAAGCCAGATCTTTGGCCAGAGCTATCAAAGTCCTAGTCATGACCTATACAGGAACCAAAAGATCTCATTGCTGATCTCTGTTGATGGTAGTGTAGTAATATAAAGAATTTTGGTTTAAGGATTCTTTCTTCTGTAGGACCTGCTTGTACTACTGGATTTAATTGGTGCACCAAACCCTGTCTTTCCCAATTATTTTCCAAACACCAGTCGATGGTTTCAGAGGCTTCAAGCAATTGGTAAGGATTGGGGTATGGGCTTTCGGTGAATTTGAAAATTTAGTGTGTAGCTTCTGAATGTATTAAGTCCTGTAAAACAGATTTTTAGGTTACTTTTCTGGTTTACAGTTTTAATAGTTACATTATTAAATGTTATATTTGGTGCATCTTAAACCTATATGAAGATTTTATTATTTAACTAATAAAATAACTGAGGAAGATTCCCAGACACGTGAAAGCCACAAAGCAGGTTCTGTAACTGACTGACACTCTGCAACTCTTGGAACTGTTTCACTTCTCTGTTGTAGTTCTTCCTTCTGTAAAGTGACGGTAATAGCACCAATCTTTGAGGTCTTCTAAGTAATGAACAAACGCAAAAGACAGTCACAAACTCCTTTGTCTTCTTTGATGGAAAAAGCTTCCACATGAGAGGAAAAAAATAATCAAATGTGCTAACATGTCTCGTATTGTCCAAAAGTTGTAATAATCACTTTCGATGTGAATTACAGAGCAAGAGCTGCACAACATGAATCTATTGAAGAATCACCACATTGAAAAGCAGTATTTCCAGGCTACTTTCTATCGAGGCTTGGTTGAAGATGACCACGTTCCTTTTCTATTAAGAGGTACTGGAAGCTCTATATTTTAAAGTATAAGTTCAGTAACAAATGCATATTTAATGAATGAGCAAGTTCATATGATCCTATTTTTCAAGCTTATTTGCCCCAAGTATTTCTTGTGGCAGACATCTACACCTGAGCCCCCAACTTTGTGGTCATGCTTTTCCTTTGGGATGCAAAGAAAAGGAAAGCAGTTGCACTATTGTCAAGCTACAGATCAGTAATTAAGCACTTGTCCAAGTTCAAGAGTGGATTTGATGTCCTTCTCTGTTCAAGCACTCAGCAGAGCACCTTCAAAACTAAGGTGTGCTGAAGGGCAGTAGATGTAGTAAAGTCTTCTGATTGAAGTTTTCTGCTGTGTAAGAGTTACATTGCCAGAGAGGGGTTAAACAAAAAGGAAGGTTACGCTAGTTCAGTGAAAGGGTATCTATCTAGGAAAACAGGGAGGTATCTTCATATCCAGCCCCTAATTTTGCCATTGCTTATCTTCTGTTATAGTGAGTAATGTAAAATTGGTGCACAGTTCTGGAAGCAGGCACAAGATAAACTACACCTCTCTGCTTCTAAGCAAGTGCTCTTTTCATTGTGCTATGGTTAATGTCTCCTGCTCAATGGCTTTTCAACTCAGTGAATCTGATATTTTTCACATCAAAGCAGGGCCCAGGTCCAACAAAACCAACACTTAGTGAGTAGTTACCTGAGTCTCTTGCTAAGTGGTGACATATTCATTGGCTTAACAGAACATCTCCAATATGTCTTCTCCAAATTTCATTTTCCTTTTATAGGGGTTCCAGTCCTGCATCTGATTCCGTCCCCTTTTCCAGCAGTATGGCACACCATGGAGGACACAGAAGAAAACCTTGACAAAACCACTATCGACAACCTCAGCAAAATCCTGCAAGTGTTTGTACTGGAATATCTAAACCTGTGAGAGACAAAATGACAACAGGTCATACTCCTTTCTAAACACTGTTCGTCCATCTTCACATTTGCTATTTAATTGCATTGGAGAGACTAAAGTGAAGAAAAATACGATAGTTCTTGCTAGACAGATTATTGATTCATCTGTTCCTGGCCTGATGTTCTTCTACGTAGCCAAGCAAGATAGCATTAAACAAGAACTAGTTTCAGCCTGGAAAGAATTTGACCTTTCCATGTTTTACCTCTGAATAAAAAAACTAGGATTTTTCTGGGTGGTTATCACTGGTTTATGTCACACATTAAGATCCAGGAGGGAATGCCTCCCAACTTAAGTGTTACCTTGTTTTGACAAGGTGTGACCAAATAGGGAACTGTTCAGCAATGGAAATTTATACCACATTATCAAAAGAGGCATAAATCGCACTAAAACAGATTTCCTCTGTGGGTTGAACTAAACCACCTCATCCTGAAATGAGCTGCTACAACTCTGGACACACAGAAGGGATTTTTAAACCCTCTCTGCTCCCTTTCCTCCTTCTCCCCCAAGGAGGGCTGCCAGGGCTCTTGTCTGCGGACAGGCAGCAACCAGCAAACACAGAAATAACCCAAATTCAGTTTTCTCCTTGTTCTTTGTTGGATACTTTTTTATGGAGAAGGGTGGTGGGGAGTGATGCTAAAGGAAGGTATGTGGGGGCTTCCCCCACATCCTGCTTTGACAGCACCATAGGAGATATAAACAGAAGAGTAGGTGGTGCATGGGAGCAACTTCCCAGCACACACCATTCATTCATGTGAGAATCGTTCACAGTTTGATCTGAAATTAAAAAACAAATACCACAGAGTTGCTGGTTTTAATACTAGGAAAGTGATAATTTTTAAATTGTATTTATATGAAACCATACTTTGCAAAGGTAAAGTACTATTTATCAAGAGTAAAACAAGTGTGAGACTCAGAAGCAAGAAGACAGTTTAAGCACCAAAAAGTAAGGACAAGCCATAGGCTATATCAGAAAAAGATACTCACCAGTTTAACAACCCAGTGCTTTTACATTCTATACTGGAATGATTCAATAAATTTAGTATAACACTGTCAAAAATCTAGCCTGGAATAAAATCAGTAGGAGAAGCCAGAAGAACAGTATTCAAAAGCTCCTACGGAAGTATGGTCTCCACTGGTGAGGAAAGGATGAGAGCATTTGGAGAAAAAAAACCCTAAATATCAAGCTGGTAGAGAATGAACTGAGAAAAAAACAAGTCAGGATTTTACAGCTCTGAACTTCACTAGAAAGTTCTATCTCGGGCAAAGAGATTTAGAAAGGAAGTAAGTGATGCAGTTGTAAGCATGTTACATTTGGCCTCTATACTACCATTTTCCTAAAGCAAACATTTCTGAACCTAAGCTGCTATTTACATCAGTATTTTAAAGTTGCAACCAAAATACATATTTACAGCAATGCAAAGCTGTAAAATTCTACTATTACAGGACAGCCTGAAAATGAAATTCAATCTCGTTTTGTTGCTCAAGATGAAACTTAAGCATTTCATGTTTTCTCATCAGTTCAACATTGTAAGAAGTGTTTCTGTTCTGCACACAACCTCTGAAATAGAGTATGATGAAAATTCTAAAAGTTGGACAGATGTGTTTATTTTCAGATATTGCTGTACATCTGTGTAAATACATGAAAGCTGCTTGAACTCTTTGCTATCACATTCTCCTCCACTTTGGCCCATGAGAAAACATTCTAAACTAAATGAAATCTGAAGTTTGAACACTCTGAGCAGTATAAGGCACCTCCTGCACCCACCTAACTGGTGAAAAAAAGGAACAAAATGGCTACGTACAGAAACGCTAAAAATGAGTGTGTGGCTAATTTCACTGCTACAGGTGAACTCTTGTTTTACTTAATACTTTGCAGGGCCTCTGAAAAACGCAGTATGCATTTGCAGTGTGCACTGCTACTCTTGCTTCTTCAAGAACTTGAAAGTCAACTTACAATAGGCATCATGATGGTATGTGGGATCAGAGGGTGGTTGTAACTGGGAAAAGTCTAGTTAAAAATGTCTCTGTTAGAGTTAGTTGAAACCCAAAGTTAATCATGTAGTACACCAAGTCTCTGGCGTGTCAATTTTGTCAACAACATGTCACTACTTCAGCATGCAGTTCTCTTGCGTTATGTTTACTCAGTTCACTGAGATACAGGTTGGTACAATACAATTCAATGGTTCTCAAAACATGAAGAAAACACCAAGAGGCAAAGAGGCTTCCCTCGCCACCTCTTTGGGTTTTGAGGGGGTTTTTTTGGTACAGGGGAAGAGGGCCATCTCTTAACCAGATGTGAGCTCTGGAAAGGCTGCCCCCGAGGGGAGGGTCATCATCTAGGCAATTTATATGATCATTAATTTAAAAAATAACTGCTGGAAGGAAAGCTTACATCAGCCCAGTAAACACGTGAATCCAAGAATCTCAGCTCGCAAAAGCACAGAAACCTGAAGTAGTCAGTAAAGCAAAAACATGGTGCAAGGGTGGGTTCTCACTGCTACTAGGGCGGGAGAGAACAAGCAGGTAGGAGAATGTCTATGTATTTGAAAACAAAAAATGCAAGTAAGAAGACCAGGACTGGTACCTCTTCCACTCCGTTTCAACACTGAATATCCCCAAGTACCGAGATCTGTATATGCATGGTACAGTAAGTCACTTCAAAATTCAGAGACAGGCTTTATGTTGGAGCACCTATCCCTGGATAGTTTCTCTGCCCCTGTTGGATGGTGGCAGCAGGGGACAGAAATCAGCTGAGGGTCTCCAACTAATCCACTACCCAGATCAGCAAAATTGCTGTACAGGTTCTCTCCTTGAATAGCACTTGTCATATTTCAGTCAAAGAAGGGCAGGGGAGAGGGGGAATAAAAAAGCATCAATCTACCATCATGAGAGGCTGTCACTTGCCAACAGTCCTCCCAAAGCTGTACGTGGATATTACCTGGGTGAAGGGAACACAGAAAAGAATTAACTCAAGAGCGTTACTCAACAGGTAAAGCTGCAAAACTCCCCACACATTAGTTATTTGGATTGCAGTAGGCAGTTTAGCTCCTTTTATATCAGGGCAGTGCAGTTTTTCACAAGAATCTTACGCCTAAGTAATGGTACATGCCGCTCAAATTCTCTAAGGCTTAATGTGTTTACCTACAAGTGTAGTGATCCTGTGCAATCACAGTTGGCACAAGTTAAGGAAGTAACAATGCCAAATCCTCTGGTAGACAGAAACAATAGCGAGTACCAGTCCTCTTTTGTGCTCTAGCTGTGGCAGCATTCCTATTGTTAGGAATGAAGATGATATAAGTTAACAATTCTTATTCACCACATTTCAGATAAACACTTAGATTGTGACCACCTAACAGCAAAATATAATTTGAAAAGACAAAATGCAGTAAAAATGCTTTCTGTAGCATTATTACAATGAACCAAGTCTACCTTGGTAGTAGACCCAGAAAAACCGTTCTGAAGTTTCACGCATCTGCTCACTGAGATTGAAGTATCACCTGAGAGCACCACTTATACAATCATATATAAAACATAACTATAAAATCTTGTACACAAATTACCACTTTTTCCTTGTCATTTAAAGATGACACTGCTTTTATTTTCCTTGTATAAAAGGAGACATTTTACTCTGTGTTGATTTAACATTCTTAACATAGTCATAACAATAAAGCAGCTAAAAAGCTGTTCTAATCTCTAAAAGAATCTTTTATCATCTGCACATATGATATATATTGTAAACAATCACTCCAAAAAATAGTTTTGTTAAAGTGATTATATTGCACTCAGAATTCTGGAATTCTCATTCTCCCTTCTCATTTTAAATTAAAGATCAGCTTCATTTTTTCATAAAATGGAGCTTTAATTTTCTACTAAAAACAAGTAGGCATGCAATCAATATAATACAATGTACTTAAAATGTCAGAAAAAGGGTGTTTGGTTATGAAACTGGAGTAAGGAACAATTCTCAAATAGGCCACATGAGAGGAGTATACTGTAAACATTCTGCTGGCTCTAAGGTGTCGCAGATACTGTAGAGTGCAGTCTAGTTCAGCACCCAGAGGTACAGAGAATCTGTTCAAGTGTTCTGTATTTCAGCGAATTTCCATGCACCAATGGCATGTGGAATAGGCTACACACACATAAAGACAGAGCAATGAAACAAAGGTGATTACTGAGCTAATACTGACTTTATAGAAACAGGGCCAATCATTTTAAGTTCACTGTAATTCTTAAATGCAAGTTTTCGAGGTCACTACATTTTCTAACACAGCAATGAAACTACTACTGCTGCTGTAAATGAAGTCCAGAACTAGACTCCCTACTTGTAGCTTACACGGACTGTATACCAGTGGCAGCCTGGACACTACCCTCAGCCTCTACCATCCCAGCAAGATACTATCATGCAGAATGTCACCTTGCTTTGCTTGCAAAAGTGACACCCTCCTCCATGCACTGGAGCAAGAAACACAGGTAGTGGAAGGGGGAAAAAAGAAAAAAGGGAAAAAAAAAGTAAAAAAAGAGGAAAGCAACTTTCTTATGCAGAAAAATAAATCCTCAGCCAGTGTGAAGAGGCCACAGATCTTTAAAATTCAAATGAAGGCTGTTTTTTCAACTCAGTTCTACAAGAGAAACCCATTATCTTCAGGTAACAGAATTTCTTTGGAGTCCCTGAGATACTACAGCTCTTGGACGAATGGAGAGACTGACTTAGTATACAGATTAACAAGGTGGAAGCCAATATATAGCACCCTGAGTTGCAAGTGAAACAACAGGAATAGGTAACCCACTCAAGAGCCAAGAGATGCCAAAGAAAGTGCAGAGGAGGAACTGGCTAGGGAATTGTTAAGATACATACTGCACAGGAGAACAGGGGGGAAAAGATTGAAGTATTTCTAAAAGGCCTTTCCCTGTTATCAGAGCAGTGAAGAAAAAGACAGCAGTCAGAAGAGCTGCTGAGAGAGGCCCTGAAGAAATACAGCCTTCTAGGTGTACAGCAGAACGATAATGCAAAAGCAGAGACAAGTTTGGCAGTCTTGTTCCAAGTGTGCCCTGAAGGTTTAGCACTCTAGCAATCACTCAGAACTGTCAGCAATCACTGACCAGTACTCTGGATATAAACCAGGAATAGAAATACTTTCCCCCCTGAAACTACAATAAAAATACAAAGAGGAAAAATACAAAGTCACAATCAAATCAGAGAATACTTTCCATAGTCAAAAATGAAATACTGGCTTCAGAAACAATACAGCCATCTGCTCTGTATCTTAAATAGGGTTATATCATAAAAAAGAAGTGCTTGTAAAATCTAAGTATGATATATTTTATTTCCCAGCATATTGCTAAATAATTTTGCAGTTAAACCAAAAAGGAAGAAATATCAGAGATGAATATGGAATACTTACAACTAGAAAATGGTTGCTGA